ACAGGCTTCCTTTATAGGCACTTTTATAGCATGTTGATACTTCATTTAGTAGACCGCTGAATTAGACAACAAAAATCAAAGAATGAAAACAGAGTGCTGAGAATGAGCTAACGTACAATGTAAGTCAGAACCCTTCTCCTTTAGTGGGAGACGGGGTTTGAATCTTGAAGATCAAATGAAAACCGGCTTTGAATGAAATTTGAGAAGAAAAGTCTGAGGATTTCTGATGATTCTTTCAGATATGTAGTGAAACAGCCTGAGGTTTTGTAGGAAGACCGAAACTAGAATCCAGTATGAATTCGAGGAAGCTGGAAGAGGAGAGATTTCCTATAATCAGATAGTTTGAGAAGAGGGTTAGACAGGTTTAAGAAAGAGTTCAGACATGATGCTTCCAAGAGACGGTAATGAGAGACAATGAGTCTACAGGTCACCACGATAGCTTTATTAGCATTTAAAATTCTATATGGGTTATTAGCTAATAAAGCACGATAGCTTTATTAGCATGCATTTAAAATTCTATATGGATCATGTTTAATTAACTAATAAAAGGATTTGTAAAATGCAACCTAAAACCCAGCAACCAATCACTTGCATAAAATATCCTTAGTTTGAGAAAAGTAATTCATTTGAACCCTGGTCATCGCTCATGGACTCGCACCTTGGAACTCCTCCAGTGCTAGCCTATCCCTTCCTTTACAGCCTATTATGATCGATGTTTCTTTATTAAAAGCAACTAAGTAGGTGATGAGACTGAGGAGAAAAGAAGGCAGAAAGGATCAAATTTCCTTGGAAACATAGATATATATTTAAAATTTTTACTAATTCTTTTATTTTTGAAATCATCTTATATTATTTCCCCCTCTTATTTCCTCCTCCCAGCATGCCCTTCCAGATATGCCTCCCTCCCCCGCTCTCTCTCAAATTCATGGCAGATTTTTTATTTAATTGTTGTTTCATCTCTATGTGGCTATGTATATACATATCCATTCCTACATATGTAATTCCAAACTGCTCAGGCTGCATAGTGTTCCTTCTATGTATTTTGCAAGTCAATGTTGATTTCTAAAAGTGTATTGCAATGAGTACTCATATTTTCTGTTTATAGATCCCTCGGTCAGTGCTTTCTTCCTTCTTTCATTTCCTCCTTTCTTTCCTTTTTTACTATTATTTTGGAAAAGATTCTTGTCATATAGTCTGTTCTTTCCATGAACTTACAATCTTCCTGATTCCTCCTCTCAGTTGCTAATATTACAGAATTGCACACCATGCCAACTCTTGTCATTATTTCAATTGTATAATCTATATATAATATAAAAATGCTGGCAGTGCTATAAAAACATTTTATTTCTTTAACATTTCATTTCCTTTCATTTCTTCTGTTTTTTTTGTCTATATACAGCACCATGAAATTTTCATATGGAGATGTCCTTTGATTGAGCATAAATAATTTCATAAACTCAATGTGTTGCACACTACTAAATTTCATATCTTCACTATGTACTATCTGGAGATTATTAACTAGGAAAGGAGAATCAAAGTCCTCAAATTATGAAAGCCTCTGCCTAAGAAGTGAAATACAGCCAGAAAAAGTTGCTTATAATGAATATTAAATATCAACCATGTCTGCAACAATTCATACTTGAAAACAGCAAATGCTCCATTTTGTACCAATGACTCCTTATCAGATATCTGATGTTTTAATAATTAAAGTGAAATTCCTGTATCTGTGAAGGTTACAGAACAAACATGGCACACTTAGTTGATCTTTATTGCCTTTTCTAGAAGGAGCATTATCGTGTAGCAGTATTGGAATTTTTTTATAAGAGTGTCTGAAACTATAGTCTCGAATGCCTGTAGAAGGGGAAGTCTAAATGAGAAGGTTGCTGAGGTCCAAACCTGTTAATGTCACCTGGTGGCCATGTTTTTCTTCATGACTTTGAAAATGTTCTCTTTAAGAATCCAGACCAAAAAAAAAAAAAAAAAAAAAAAAAAAAAGACACCAAGAATGCAAAGCATATCTTCAAGTATGCAAAGTAACTTAGCTTCGAAGGGAAACTGAGAGGGTTTCTTCTAGCCATGTATAGAATTTATAAAACTGGGTGGAGAGTGTCAGTATAGATATCTCCTTACTTGTCAGAAAGAATCTCTCTGCTTCAAATACAGTTGTGTCCCAAGGACAGCATAAGCTTCTAATTATGGCTTTTTCCCATGAATTCTTTTAGCAAGGGTTATTACTAGCATGTGAGTTAAAGAATCTTTATCTGTGTAGGAGTCCAGGGGTTTACTAGACTGTTGACTGTGGCTTTATTTTGATGATTAGATCCTACAATAGGTCTGAGGAGCACAAATTGGATGTATGCTTACAACTGAAGCATATATATCCTTGGAAGCTCACAACATCTTAATCATAGTATGTGCAATATGCTTTAAGATAAAAAATAAAATTTGGGGCTTTGCTGCCACTCTTCGGTGGCTTTCAAGCACAGTGAATTTAAGTGAGCGTGAACTCTATCGAATCGAGCACACCCAAGTCTCAGTTCCTCCAACTTAAGAGTCATATTAGTTTAATTTCCTGATCATTTTTTGTTCTTTGGACTCTGTCCATGAAATCATGTTCTTCTCTCATGCAAATGAGCTTCCATGAGATTCCTCATTGCTGCTTGCTTGTCTCTGGAATATGTTCTTTGTTTCACGTGGAGAGGATGTTCAGGGACATACAGGCACGGAGGCATTTGTCACCTCCTGTCTATTGCATGTGCATTTCGAACAGCTGTCATTTTCTGCTTCCTCTAGAATTGGCCTTTTAGTAATTTTATCTTTGCAAACGTTTGATTGCTACCTCAGAAGAAATCCCTGGGTTTTCTTTGTTTTGTTGTTTATATCTTTCCCTGCCATGTCATTCTTTTTCCACCCAATAATTTATCCTAGATGGAAACTTTTTAATGACTGTGATGTACAGAGTCCCCATCTGACTGTAGCTTATTCTCCAGCATTCCAAACTATTCTTCTTGACTTCTATCTGCATGAGCCAGCTGTACTAACTGCTGAACAGTTCAGAGCTATTCCATACAGGAGACCTCTGCCATAGCCCCAAGTACTTTATGCTTCTCATTTGTATGACTTTTGTCATACTTTGATATGATTTTTTTTCCTAAGTTCAGATCTTAGAAAACAAATCTTAGTTTGAGTTTGACCCCATGAGTGTCTTCCTTAAAGATTTAAATAAGCCCTTTTTATAGCTTCCCCCATTCATGTTTTCTGAGGACTGATCATATATCTATCTATAGGACACTCTTCTTTATGTGTTATGTCTCAATGGCCCCAGTGAGGTGAGTTGTTCATATGCACAACCCCTGTAGTCTGCTTTGTCCACCATACTCCTCTATACCTTAAAGAGGAATGGATACTTGGTAAGAACTCTCTGTCCTTACGTGTTGTATGAGTAAAATCACATAAGCTCAAATCCCATCATTCTAACTGAGCTGGCAGGTCAACTTGGTAAAGAATAAAATTTTTCACCATCTTCATAACAGAAGCTTTTTGCATGACATCTTATATAACATACTTTCCCATGTGTCTTGGCACTGAATGGTTGTAAAGCTCTTCAGAGACAAGTATTGGTAAATAATTCCATAAAATATGTACAGTTAGATTCATTGTTACTAGGGGTATAGAGAAGAGGAATTTGAGAAATTTGAAACATGCTTTTTGACACATTCCATTTATGTAGCTGATCAGAATGGTGTGGGAACTGTCTTGGTATATATATTAATGATGGTATATTATGCTGTTTAAATGTGAATTATTTTATAGCAGTATAAAAGATTAAATTTAGAATTTTCCATCAGGTGGATTTTCTGTTTTTTTTTTAAATATTACTTTATTTTTTCTGTAAAGGTTTTATCATTTTGTGTCATGGAGTGATCTGATTTTGTTCTTAATTTACAAGTAATACATATATCTAGATATCAGAATACTACTATATAACCTTGTATAAGATGATTGTTGCAAAATGCCTTTTCTTGGTTGGTTTTCTTTGTTTTTTTTCTTCATTGTTTAATATCAACCATATAGAGTAACAATAAGAATTTAAACATGCAGCTGTAACAATTAAAAATATATGCACTGAGAATAATGGTTTCCTTTGTAAATGCTTTCTATTGACAGGTAGATTTCATTACCTTTCTTATTGAGTAAATTAACTGCAGTTAGTGTAGAGAATTATGTATCTTGCTTATCAATGCACCATAAAGAAATTATGTACTTAGATATCTCTTACTTTTTCATAGCATATAATATATGATTGTTGTGTCAATTTTTTAAAATATCATATGTGTATAATTTTATTTTACCATTATTGTCTTGGTCTTCCATATTTATTCATTTATGTACTATGCAACATTTGTCAGTAAAAAATCACTGTGTATATAAGTGGCAAAAATGTATGTATATCTTTTCACATTAATGTCCATCATAGCTCTTAATATAGTTATCTTTTAAAAATATTAGCAAAATGACCAAAAAAACCATATAAAGAAATACAAAATAATCATTTAACTCTGAACCAGAACAAAACAAAATAAAACCAAACAAAACAACCCCAAAATAGCAAAACCAAAATCCCTTTATATTGCCAATATTTTAATGTAAAAAAAAAAAAAAAAAAAACCTATGAGTTTGGTAGCCAATGTCTAACTCATACTTGTGTATATTAGTGCCCGTAGTTTGAATTTAAATCTATGAGACTATTAAAATGAAGAGGGCCTTTATATTTTGTAGGTAACTAGCTCATTCAGTTTCTGTAATTATGTCTAGTTTAATGATCATGCGAGGAATGGGGAGGAGAACAGTGTTCATAACCTACGCCTGAGTGGGATTTGGGGTGGTTGGACCTAAGCCTGAGTCTGCAATAGAGGTGCCCTTGGGGATGCCCCCCCTACTGGGCTCCTCTGAGGCCTGAGTAAGCAGGGGTCTGATGGTGCGCCCTGCGGTCCCCGCAGGTGGCAAGCACAATGAGAGACATCCAGCCCTTGCTGCTCCACTGCGACACGCGGAGCGCAGCGCAGGAGGCGCTCTACCTCCCAGACATCTCCTTCAGCAGCCAGCGGCAGAGCGCGCCACTGCTCACCGAGGACAAGGGTCACGTGGAGCTGCCAGAGGAGGTCGTGGACCAGGTGCCTCAGGAGCCCAGGTTGCAGCCCAAGGTGCGGCCGGCGGGGGAGAGGGCTGGGGTGGCAGGGCATGGGCTGATGGGAGGCTCATGTTGCCTTCCACTTTTGCTGGTGGCCTATGTTTCTGCTGTAGAGCCACATCCTAATTTGAAATATTTTGTTTAAAATACATGGTTGTGATGGAAACCAAGGATTGCGACACACACATGTCATCCCAACAATTTGGAGGTGAAAACGGAAAGATCAGTGTCCAAGGCCTATGCTGTGTAGTGAATATTCAGGCCATTCTGGACTACCTGGGAAGTCATCCAAATAGAAAAAGAAAAAACAAAACAAAGAAAGAAGAGAATTAAAGTTGAGTTAGAAATACTATCTTGCATTATTGCCTGATACTTCAAATTACCTTTAAAAAACATTTAACTAACTGTGAAATTCCTATGAAAGATGAGCATGAACATTGCTGATTAGGGGAAAGAAGTCTCGTCAATAGGAACTGACAAGATTTTGAAAAGATTATGATTAAAGCATCGTGGGAAGGAATTAAACATAGTCACTTAAAGCATAACAAACACCTCAGGAAAACGCTAGTAATCTCATGAAAATGTTGGGATGTACTCACAATCGTGCTTCCCAGATGGCAACTCTGTTGAGTCCAGCTAATAAAACTCCATTGAAGAACGCTATATAATGTTTCCGTAAAATTAAATACTATTTTCCCCAATACTGTCGACTATAAATTTTCTTTTTTTTTTTTCTCACAAACCTCCATAGGGTAGTCTTATTCCCGTAATTCCGGGGGCGGGGGGGGGGGGGGGGGGTTCATAACATTCAGAACTTTGTGTGGTACAATGTGAGAATCCTGGGAAATATCTGGTTGAAATCCAGGAATTTCTAGCTACCTGGCTTACCCTATAGTTTTTTTTTTTTTTTTTTTTTTTTTGGAAGGGGTAAAATGCAAAAGGGAAGCAAACGCTGCTGTATTAGTTGTATTTACTGTTTAAGCCCTGTTGTGACTCTATTGCATGTCAAGCAATAGAGTGCTTGAGCAGCGCATCATAAATCCATTCCACGTGCTAAAGACCCATGAGAGTTACCCCAGGTCTTCAGCTCTAGTGAGCCCGAGAGGAGAGGGAAGGCTATAGGGAACGTGGTGCTCACAGTGGCTTTGTGGCCTCCGTCAACCCGTTCCGTCAGTGCTCACCAACCTGTCCATTCAAATTATCCTTTCTTCCTTGGTGGGTGTGAGTGGGGCCGTGGTGGCGGTGGTGTCCACAGCAAGAGACGTGTAGGAGTGACTGCTGTGTGTTGCAAAGATTCAAGGACACTGTGGAGTACACATTCTTCCTGTTTCGCTGTCCCTTTTTCAAAGAAGACATGCTCTGAATTAAGCACATTTTCATTCATAATACAATGTGAAAATGGTTGTGGAAATTTCAAAATGAATTTGACTTCATTTGTGTATAGAGTAGTACTTCAAATAAATAGCATTTATGTTACTCCAGTTAACCAGTATTCGTGGAAATTTCTAGAATAGTAAGACATACATATTTAAAACAATGCATGCATGTGTGTGTGTGTGTGTGTGTGTGTGTGTGTATACTCTCATTTGCAGTTTTGTCTTCTGATGAAAATTTAGAATATAGAATCATTTTTCTATATATATTCAGAAGTTATTTATATGTAGGTAGCCCCCCAATTTTTATTGCTTTCTGTTTCAGAACACTCTTCTATGTCACTAGCCTTTCATTCTTGCCACATTTATGTCATAATGCAAGGTAGCGGTAGGGTTTAAATCACAAAAAGGAAAAAAAAAAGAAGAGGGGGTTATATATATTTTACTTTAAACAGAGATGAAAGCAGACTGCACGGCAGCTCTACCATGGAGGGTGCAGGCTGTGTGATGTAGCGGGAGCTGAAGGAACGTAGACATCCGTTATCTCTGTGCTACTTTTAGAAAGTTGCTGTCCTGTGGAAGTAATTTCTCCGAGAGACAGCCAGACTGAAGGTCATTTGAGATTGTTTCCCACAGAAAGAGTAAAGGGGAATAAGTAAATATTACAAAGTATAATCCTTCCCCGTAGTGAGGAGAGCACACAGCTAGAGTGCTTAGATCGGTATTAAAAATGGATTTGAAGTAAGAGATTCATATTATCTTGAACTCTTTAAGTTGAACAGACATGGCATAATTCAAACAAGAAAATGTCAGGGAATTCAACATCCTTCCTTAGCCCTTTGTGTTCTTTAAAGAAAAAGAAACAAATAGATGAAGATGCTGTAAACATATAGTTCTCAGGAAACATTTTAAATAATGAAGACCAATATTAATGTGATCAATCTGTGGCTTAAAAATAAACTTCGCCTTTCCTTAAAACTAACCTAAGTTTTATAAATGATCAGACAAATTAGTGGAGACTCAACAAATCCAACCATGGCAACAGAATAAAGTCTTTTACAACCTGTGAAATGCCATTTTGACATGTTTGTCCTTGAGTTTATTTAATTTTTTAGAGTTAATAGAAATTAAGAGCAAATGAGGGGATTCACAAAAACTAGAAATTGACTGCACAGTAAGAAAATGAGGTGTGCACGCAGGCATGCACGTGTGTGTGTGTGTGTGTGTGTGTGTGTGCGTGTGTATCCACACATAGACATTTAAGTCAGGGTTCCCTGAAGTAACTTCAGCCAGGAGAAAGCTTTAAACCAATCCCAATCAAAATCCAAATACCTAAATATTCCCTAGAGGACAGAGGAAGGCCAACATATTTATAAATATTTTTATTAATTCCTTGGGAATTTCATGCAATATTCTTTGATAACATTCGCCCCACCCCCAACTACTCCATGTACTTCTTCCGTACACTGTCCTTCCCCACAATTGAATTTCTTTTTTCTTGAAACAGTTCATCCAGTTTAATGTATGCTGCCCATAAATTCCTGGGTATGGGCCATCCACTGGACTTGCTGTACCTACCAAAGTCATAAAAAGTGACTGTTCCTAACCCCAAAGCATCATCTGTTCATAGCTCCTCTGTTAGTGGCAGAGACGTATGAAATCTTTCCTATTCTGTGGCAGCCTATCGACTGGCCTTATCTTGTGCAGGTCTTTTGCAGGTAGTCACAGGGGCTGTGAATTGATGAGTAGAGTGGTCCTGTTATATCCTAAAGACATACTTCACTCTGGTCTTCCCTAGCCACTGATTCCTACAGCAAAATGGAGAGTTACATTGACTCATAGGAGCGATGAGTTAGTTGTGTCAGTGTTCTGACTCCAGGAGGGAATGTCCAAGGAGAGAATATTCATAGTAATAGGGAAGGAGATGAACTCAGTAAATAGCATTCAGGAAACCCTAAGAGTTATCCCAGCATCCCTGGGACCCCGAATCTTGACAACGAGGCTAAATCAATAAGGTTTAAAGACTCATTGTGTATGTAAGTGACAGAAAACACAAGGAAGAAGAAGACCACTCTGCTGTAGCCCACTAAATATGAACAGTTCTCCATTTTACTGAGATGAGGGAGACAAGCATAGATGGTAAAGTCAGTAAGGCGAGATGGAGTTGCTGACCAAACAAAATCTTTCTCATTAAAAATATAAGGCGGGATTAGTCTTTAATAGCCCTGTTTGGCCAGGGGTGATAAGATATCCTGAAATACAAGCACATCTGCTAGGATTGCACTCAGTCCTTCCTTTACTCCCTTGTAATACCTGGCAGGGATACAAGGGAGCCAAGATTAGGTCTGGATTTGAGCTTTTCTGTCTTCTCTTCGATATATGTGTATATATATATATAGTGTCTGTGTGTGTCTGTGTGCGGAGTTTCAAGTCATAATCTGGAGAGAACAGGAGACCCTTCCGCTCATATTTGCTCTCATTTAGCATGTAACATAGCACTCACTTCTGTAGAGTAATAACCAGAAGTAATCTCCACATGTCCTTTGAGAATTCCTCAGAAATGAACCTTGATTAATCTTTTGCCTAATTAAAACTGATTATTAAAATAGCTTGTCCCTTGACTACCGCGTAAAGTGGTGCTTTATCTTAAGGAAATGGTTAATGTTCTTGTTGGTTAAGAGTTTTGAAAATAAAAGGCAATACTTTCAGAGCTATTGGTCCAGGCTGTGTTTGCAAAGCTCACATAATTCTGCATGTGAGGTGCTAACACAACTGAAGCTCTCATGGTAAAAGGGACAGAAGTTCATTTGCTGGGTTCATGTAACACCATGATTTGGGAATCGAGCCAGTTCTTTTGTATACCACAAAGTCACTAACTTGATAGGGCAAGTCATAGATACTGAGATAAATGAAAAACATAGTGCATACCAAATGCTTTGAAACCGATGAAAGCCAGAATGCTAATGAGAAAAGGCTTATAGTCAGACAGCACTGTTTTTCTTATCTTAGATCACATCCCAGCGACATTCTTCAGTCACACGTAAGCCTAGTGTCACTGGCTTGGGTGTACTCTTGGAGATGAAGTGGCATCTATGCAGCAGTATGACAGACATCATAATTAGCCAAACACAAAGAAAAAAGAATTTCATTAATTTAGTTTACCAGCCATAAGCTTTTACCCCATACCTTCCACAGAATTGCCTTTCTTTGTTCAGAGGGTCCTGCATCATGAGTTAGTTCATTAGTTCAGTGGCTAAACTAAATAAGTAGACAATGCTAAGCTATGCTAAGTAGACAAGGGGCTTGATGTACATTCCTCTGTTTTTAATGATCTTTACTGATACTCACTCTTTAGGGAGACTCCCAGAGAGGATTTCGCCATGTATACCTCAGAATTCACTATGTCACTATGGTTGATCTCAAACTTGTGGCACACCCCCTGCCGTAGTCTCTTGAGTTCTAAGATTACAGATGTATACCACCGTTTGTGATTAAACCCAAGGCATGATGGTATTGTTTCGTTTTATCTGTAGCCTGACCCATACTTGGTCAGTGTTTTACTATTGAGGTATGTCATTAGCCTGACCACTATTCTTGACAAGACAATTTCTGACCTCCTACTTTTGAATTAGAGTGGTCT